CCTTCACTCCCCCTAGCTCCCCCTCAGCTCCCCCCTCAGCTCTCCCTCACTCTCCTTCGCTCCCCCTCAGCTCTCCCTCACTCTCTTTCGCTCCCCCTCAGCTTCCCCCCTCAGCTCCCGCTCAGGTCTCCTTCACTCCCCCTAGCTCCCCCTCAGCTCCCCCCTCAGCTCTCCCTCACTCTCCTTCGCTCCCCCTCAGCTCTCCCTCACTCTCTTTCGCTCCCCCTCAGCTTCCCCCCTCAGCTCCCGCTCAGGTCTCCTTCACTCCCCCTAGCTCCCCCTCACTCCTCCTCAGGTCCCTCTCAGCTCCCCTCCCTCACTGGCTTCGGTGGGAGTTGAAACTCCCTTCCCTGGCAGTTAATACATCAGCTTTCAGGTGGTTCCTGCCAACGAAATCATCTTTTCGGGTTCCTCCTTTTAAGTTTCGGGGGTAGCGAAGGGAAATCTCACCTTTCTCTTGGCAGAGGGCTCTCCAGTCCCCTCACCGCCCCGCCTACAGCTGTCCGCCATGTTCGCTGCCGAAGGCCCTTGGGCACGCGGTGCATGTGTGGGCTGGGGATCGTTGGGAACGTCCAGTCGGAGGGATTTTAATAGGGCTCAACGAGTCTGGCGTTGCAGAAAGCCCTAAAGCTTGGGGCTGATTTAGCTAGTTGCTTTGTTTAAAATAATAATTTGTTTTGGAGTCAGAGCCAACCTGGCGCGGTGGCAATGCGCGCCTTGTGGTGTCTCATCGCCTCTTCGTTGCGTTCCTGTGGGGATGTGGCACTTAGAGCCTGGGGCAATTGTAACAGCAATGTTGACAATCAAAATGCGGTTTAACGCGCATTAAGTAGATCCTCCGTACAGTTTATGATGCCTTGGTGCTGGTAAATGTAACTTACTTTGTGGATTTCAAATACTTGCTTATACTTGGGCGCTGTTCTTGCAGTAAACTTGACCTGCCTGGAACATTTCACATGGCCAGGGCTGTATCCACACTGTATAGCTTAGTGACCTCATACATCTTCCACAAAAAAACTGTTGCTACTGTTTCTGTGCAACATTTTCTATGCTGTTGTGAGATACTGATTTTGTGTGAAATTCTTCTGGTTCCCCTCAGAGCATTCGTGATGTTGATTTAGATGAACAGGATCTGCATCACTAGGGGGAAGTGGTATATTGTTCACTGCGAAGCTTGAAGGCTGCTCCTGTTCATTTATGCAGATTCTGGGAACTTGAGATGAGAGCTCTTCTCTGTAAGCAGACAGCTGTAGCCTTTGGCAGTTCATATCTGAGAGCTGAAGATTGCATTAGATGTAAGTACCTTGCAGATAGATCAGAGATTCATATTGTGACAGCACATGAAAATGTGATGCACCTACTCAGGCTGAGACAAGAGCTAAAACTCAGCAATTAGTATCTGCATTACTCCCAGGGAGGCTGGAGGAGAAGGTCTGGTGTCCTGGCATGAGTTTGCTACGTGTATGCTCCTTGTCTGAACTATTTAACTGCAAGACTGAAAAATACTGGAAATTATTTCCTTTTCCTTTTGCCCAGACCTCAAATGCATGTGACAAATTATGGGAAAAAATTAAGAATTTGGGAGAGGCAGAGTTTGGAATGTCAATGAAATATTTATTGCTTATGCTAACAGGTTTTTCCTGTATCTGGGAATTAAAATAAGCATATGGGTAGTTAATGACAGGAATCAGCATATGGGAGTCTTCTCAAAAGTTGCTTTCTGCTGTTTCCAGTAAGCGGTGATGCAGGGAGTTCCTCCGAGGCCTGCAGCTTTTCATGGGTAGGTTTCAGAGATGATGATGATTTTGGATCTTTTTGTGTAAGAGTCTTGCTATTACACATCTGTCTGGCAAGGGAAGAAAAAATATTTCAGAGGAATATTAAACAACCCTACTCCTAGACTACTGTCTTAACACCAGCGCTCGCAGTTTTCGGATCAGTAATTTAGTGGCGTGACATGTCCTGGCTGAACTGAACTGAAGTTACAGCACACCTGAGGGAGCAGTGACATGAAAACTCTTTTGCCTTAATTCTGATCACATGTTTTTCAGCTCAGTAGAGGCCCAAAGGTGTTACCACCTGACGTCTGTTCAGTGGCTTGTGTGAAATGGCTGTTAAGGGTCTCTGTTCAATTTCCGAACCTCTCACTATAGCACATTTCTCACTACAGTTACACTCCAAGAAGATCTAAGTGGGTGATTTGCAGTGAATAATATGCTCACATGCTGCCTTTTTCTACTCAGAAGTTGAGGTAATTTTAATTTGCTATTTGAAATTATTTACTGATAATTTCTGCAAATTAAATGCTCTCAAGTGGTTTGTTCTGTACGTGTACAGAGGGCTTCTTGTGTGTCGACAGGGCTAAGCTCTCTGGTCTCACCATGAGGCAGTTGTTAGAGCTGGGTGACAGACAAGTAACCAGATAAACTGAAGTTAAGTGGCTTGATCCCAGGTCAACAGCGAGAGGTGGGAGTAGAGTATAACTGTTCAACTTTAGCAATTCGCTTAATGGGGTAGGAAGCACAAGCTTAAATAATTTAATGAAAAGGCACCTTCAGAGTTCAGGGATATGTAATTTTTGGAGAGGGAAGGGACAGGTCTGTCTTCAAAGCACAGGAACTGGTGCTTAAATGCACCTAAAGCCAGGTGACCCTGTGGAGAGCCCGGACGGGCCCCCTGCATCCTCCCCACACCCAACGCCCCAGCTTCCCTCCTGTCTTCTCCCTTAGCTCCCTCCTGTCTTCTCCCTTAGCTCCCTCCTGTCTCCGCTTGTGCCCACGTGCTGCGTGTGCTCTTTGCCCAGGCGGTCCACAGGGCTTGTCAGATGGCTGCCAGCCTGCATGGGGATGGCGGAGCCCACCCGGCTTCCCCCCGGGACAGATTTAGCTGTCTCCTGACTACCTAATCAGATGCCCGCTTGGAAACTTGCTGGCCTTGGGGCCCGCTATCCCTCAGTCAGATTTGGTTAACAGTGACCATAGTACCTGGGGAAGGGAAGCTGCGAGTCAGGCAAGAACTTCCAGTGTCTTCTGTTTTGTGCCCTTCAGAAGCAGGGTTTGAAGTGCTGCTGTTGGCTGAGGCACAGGGATGCTGTCTGCAGCCGGGCTGCTTCTGCAGCACCAGGAACTGTTGATCCAGACAGGCCACAGGCACTTGGGGAAAGAAGCAAAAGCAGTTTGGAGCTGTGTAAGGGATGGTGGGGAGTTCAAACCAAAAAAAGCTGGGGGTTTCTGGAGAGGTCATGGTGAATGCTACTGGATTTTTAGGCATTGAAATAATATGGCTTTACAGACAGAAGTTGGTGTATCGCAGCCCCTGATGTCTTTTGTTCTCAGCATCTCCCTCTTGTACACACGCCCTCAGCCAGCATGCTTCAGTCGTTTATCCTGCAGCCTAGATGAGAGGGTTACTGTCCTCTGAAAGCCTTGCCTCTTCTACCCCTAAACTGTTCTTCCTCTGGCATTGGGAGTGCCTCTCCCAGCTGGCCAGCAGCTGCTGGGCACAGGACAAGGTGGTGCTGGGCTGCTTTTTGACAGAATGGCCTCACACTGACAGCAGTAATTTGAGGAGCAGTTGATTGCAACCAAAAATCAGACATGCCTCCCATAAACCAGTAGCTGGGTTGACAGGGAGCTAGTGAATTACTCTGCTGCTGATCTCTGCTGAAGAGGAGGAACAAAGATTCCTCTAGGAAGAGCAGCGTCCTGATAGATCAAGAAGTTTGTGAGATGGTTGTGGTCATCACAGTACAGTGAATTCAGGAGGTCTGCAAATCCAATTGCTTGGCTGGCTGTACTGAGCACACAGCTTCTGTCTATAAGACACTTCTCTCTTCCCAAGAGCTTGGTAAACATTTTTGAACTCAGCGGTCATACCTGAAAGGCTGTATTCGGGGGGGGATTGAAATGAGAAGCTGCCATGTTCAAAAACTTACCGGGCAGGCAATTTTATATATAATAAACATGATATAGGGTATTATGAAGGCTAACAGGATGCAAGCGGTGAGCACTTTAAAGATGTTCCTTAGTTTTTGTCTGTTCAGCATATCTTTGCCATTTGTGTATGGAATTCTCCCTAAAATGAGATAGAGAATAACATTTTAAATGTGTTTACAAGTCTTTGAC